ATCGCTCGCCGTCGCCGCGAGATAGATACGAACGCCGTCGTCAGCGCTCTCAGTCGCCGCGTGACCACAGGTATGAGCGGCGCCACTCGCCGAAATCGCCGCCGCGAACGAAAGGTAGAGGCGTTGATAGGTTGGTAGACGCGTTAGAGAAAATGGCAATGTTTCGTCCACCGCCGCGACAGGCGCAGGAATTGCCAATTTTCACCGGAGCCTACACGGATTGGCTCCCGTTTAAGCGCGCGATGATAGACTCGACCCGTATGTACAAATTCTCAGACGCGGAGAATTTGGCGCGCTTACGAGTCAGCCTGAAGGGAGAAGCGAAAGAAGCAGTCGCTGCGCTCCTGTACACGGCTTCGAATCCGTCCGTAATTATGGATACGTTAGAGCAATGTTTCGGTAAGCCGGAACTTATAGTGGAACGCACCGTTAGCGAACTTAGGCGTTTGCCGCGACCCGACGGAACGGCAACGGGTTTAAACAGCTTCGCCGTTAAGGTGCAGAACGTCGCCTGCGTGTTAGGGAATTTAGCCCACTGGCACTTATATGATTCCACGCTAGTACGCGACTTAGTAGAGAAGCTCGACACGTACCGGCAGACCAAGTGGTGCGAGTACGCGGACGAACACCGAATGGAAACCGAACCCGAGATCGTCAAGCTATCACGGTTTCTAATGCGCGAAGGGGACCTGGCGATCCGGTATTTGCACTCGGCCGCAAAAGAAACAGCGCCAGCGAGGCACGACCCTAAGCCCCGCCCACCGCGTACGCGCCGCCCCGAACGTAAGAACGTGTACAACGCCACCGCGGAAAACAAGGAGCCAAGGAAATCGGTTTGCCTTTGTTGCGGCGGCAATCACTCGGTCCCGCGGTGTTGGAAGTTCTCAGCCATGACGGTGGAGGACCGTTGGAAGTGGGCCAAGGAGGCGTACGTGTGCTTCAAGTGCCTAATAGAGAAACATCGCCGCTTCAACTGTAGGGCAAAGTCGTGCGGAGTCGACGGATGCGACTCCCCGCACCACGCTTTGTTGCACACGCAGCGTAAGCCGGTATCGAAACCCGAGACACCGAAGGTCGAGACGGTTCTCAATACGTCGGTGTTAGTCAAGGAGAACAGCGGATCGGTCTTGCTGAAGGTGTGTCCAGTTAGCGTGATAGGGCCTAACGGGCAACGCGCGAATACGTACGCTCTTCTTGACGAGGGATCGACCGTCACTCTGATAGACGCGGAAATAGCGGACCGTATAGGGGCCGACGGGCCCACGCGAAAATTACGTATTCACGGACTAGGGTCTAGTCAGAGCGAACCGACTAGTAAGGCCGTAGAGTTAAGTATATGTGGAAAGTCGGGTGAAAGTCACAAAGTTATTGCGCGAACCGTACATAACTTGAAATTAGCGAGACAGACTATAGACTCGTCGTGCTTAGAATACGCGCACTTACGAGGTCTCGATAGGTCGGAAGTTTGCTACAATAACGTGAAACCAGGCATCTTGGTAGGGGCCGATAACTGGCACTTGATCGTGTCGCGTCAGTTATTGGTAGGAGGGCGCCGCGAACCGGTTGCTTCCCTCACGAGCTTGGGCTGGACGGTACACGGAACGGTACCGAAAGTTATTAACTCGACCGCGAACGAAAACGTCTTTCATGCATATACATACCGAGCGGACATATCGCGCACTTGTAACGATCTCGACGAACGGCTCGAGGATCGTATGAAACAACACTTCGCTATAGATAGTATAGGGATTTCTAAAATAGCGAAGCCATCGCGCAGCGAAGAGAGAGCGCTCGACATATTCGCGCGAACCGCGAAGCGAATAGGCCACCAGTTCGAGGTAGGGCTGCCGTGGAAAGACGACGTAGTTGTCATGCCGCCGAGCTACGATATGGCGCTCCGCAGGCTGCGAACAATCGAACGGAAAATGGACGCGTCGCCGGAATTTAAACGCGAATACGAAGCGCAGGTGCAGAACCTCTTAGACAAGGGGTATGCGGAGCCGTGTCAGGGAAACGAAGCGGACAGCCCGATCGGCTGGTACCTTCCGCATTTCGCCGTACGGAACGTAAATAAGCCGGGCAAATTGCGCTTAGTGCACGACGCCGCCGCCACTGTTAACGGCACCTGCTTGAACGACAAGCTCTTAGACGGTCCCGACTTGTTACGATCATTGCCGGGCGTATTATTCCGTTTTAGGGAACGCGACGTAGCTGTATCGGCGGACATACGCGAAATGTTCATGCGTATTAAGATACGCAAAGCCGATCAGCCCGCCCAAATGTTCCTATGGAGAGGAGACAATAGAACGAAACCGCCCACTCGTTATAAAATGACTTCGATGATTTTCGGTGCTCGAAGTTCCCCTTTCCTGGCGCATAGCGTTAGAAACTTGAACGCTAAGGAACACGCGCAATTTTATCCTGTAGCATTCGACGCAATCACATCGAATCATTATATGGACGATTGGGTGGACAGTTACGAGAACGAAGCTAGGGCCGTGCAAGCAGTCGCCGAAGTAGTAACGGTGCAAGCGAGGGCAGGATTCCAGCTAGCGGGCTGGAACTCGAATAGCGAGCTCGTGTTAGAACACGTACCGGTAGAAGCTAGGGGCCGCGCGGCCAAGGAATTAGGCGGAAGCGACCCTCACGGAGCGGGGAAAACGTTAGGGCTGTTATGGGAGGCCTCAAGTGACGAACTTCGCTTCAATACGGCCATGAATAGGGTGCCGCGAGACGTACGATCGTTGAAAAGAGGACCTACTAAGCGAGAGGCCCTCAGCGCCGTCATGTCAATTTTCGACCCTCTAGGCTTACTTAGCTATTATACGATCAGGGCGAAAATAGTACTGCAAAACGTATGGAGGTCTAACGTAGGTTGGGATGACGTTTTGCCCGAGACGGAGAATCGCGAATTTTTAGATTGGCTACGCGATATGGACTCGGTAGCCGACTTACGGTTAGATCGAAAGTACGGTTTTAACAAGGACACGACGAATACGCAGTTACACGTGTTCAGCGACGCCAGTGAGTTAGCATACGCGACGGCCGCGTACTGGCGTATAACGTATAGGAATGGAGAGGTCAAGGTCACCCTCGCCGCGGCGAAGGCCAAGGTGACTCCGATTCGCGCGCCAAGTATCCCACGTTTAGAGTTACAAGCGAACCTTGTAGGCGCGCGTCTGGCCGATTCCATACTGAGAGAACACCGCGTACCCATCGATAAAGTAATATTCTGGTCGGATTCGAAAACCGCGCTTCATTGGATAAGGAACGATAAGCCGCGTTATACTCCTTACGTAGCGCACAGATTGAGCGATATCTCTGAGCTTACCCGTGTAGACCAATGGAGATGGGTGCCGACCGCGGATAACGTAGCGGACGACGCGACGCGAATAAGTACCGATATGAAAACTAGCCGCGATAGATGGTTCATAGGGCCCGCGTTCTTGTACGAATCGGAAGACAAATGGCCAACGGAACGCGAGGAGTCTGTCGCGACTGAGGACGAGGTAGTCGTGTCGTACGCAAACGAAAAGGGCAGTTTCGATCACTTGCCCGACATAAGCCGGTTTTCTAGTTACGAAAGGCTCATTAGGACCACGACGCGAGTATTGGCTTTCGTAGATATGTGCAGAAGACGCGCGAACCGCGTCGAGTTACGACACGTACAAGAGGCCGAACGTCTGTGGCTATTGAAATCGCAGCACGACGATTTCAACGAGGAAATCGCGTGCCTTGCGCGTAAGAAACCGTTGCCGCGCAGCAGCAAGCTGTTTAAGTTAGACCCCGTGATAGGAACGGACGGAATCGTGCGCGTGAACGGTCGTATAAATGCAGCGCAAATCGAACAATCGGTCAAGTCACCCGCGGTTTTGGACGGACGGAACGCGTTCACTCGACTCTGTATCGACAACATACATAGGCGTTCCGGACACGGCGGGCGCGAGCGCGTCGCGAATGACGTAAGACAGACGTACTATGTGCTAAGATTACGTTCAACCGTGCGTACGGTGTTACACGGATGCACTTTCTGTCGTATCAAAAAGGTTACGCCGTTCGTGCCGGCGTTCGGAGACTTACCCGCTGCGAGACTAGACGCGTATAGCCCACCGTTTAGCAATTGCGGAGTAGACTATTTTGGACCGATGATAGTTACGATAGGTAGGCGCCACGAAAAAACGCTGGGGCGCATTATTCACTTGTCTAACTACGCGCGCGGTGCATTTAGAACTCGCCGCGTCATTGACCACGGATTCGGCAATAATGGCCTTGCGCAGAATGGCCGCACGACGCGGCTGGCCGCGAGTTATATACAGCGATAACGGGACAAACTTAAGAGGCGCTGATGCCGAGCTACGAGCAGCTATGAGGGAATGGGAGCCCGAGCTCCGCGAATTTGCATTAACGCAGCGCGTGGACTGGCGATATATCGACCCCGGCGCGCCGAACCAAGGGGGCGCGTGGGAACGATTAGTGCGGTCGGTAAAAACTGCGTTATCAGTCACCTTACACGATAGAGCGCCGAAAGAGGAAGTTTTGTTGACCTTGCTCGCGGAAGCAGAATATACTATAAACGCGCGTCCGCTTACTCACGTATCGGTAGATCCGGCCGAGCCCGAAGCGCTCACACCAAACCACTTCTTGCTTGGGCAACCGAACGTACTGCCCATTATCAGAAAGTGAGACCACTGATAGACGACAATGGCGAGCGGCGCAAGCGTTAGCAGATAGTTTCTGGCGCAGATGGGTTAGGGAGTACCTACCGCAACTCATTCCGCGCGGGTCACCCTCCGATTCAAGCAGGAATCTCACCATCGGAGATTTAGTCCTTATAGTAGACTCTACGCTACCACGGAACGTATGGCCGCGCGGGGAAGTAGTCAAAATCTACCCGGGCCCCGACGGCACAGTTAGGAGCGTAGAAGTTAGGACACGGGGTGGTGTTTTTAGGCGTCCGGCGCGTAAGTTGGCCGTCCTCCCTAAGTGATTAGGCTAGGTTTTGTTTTGTTTTATTTAAAAATAGGGATAAGATTTGTTTTTATTTACACGTAGGATAAGTTTTGAGTTGATTGTTTACTGCCTAGATCGTTTGTTTTTCTTTATTTCTATTTTATTCTTTTTATTGTTTACCTAGCCTTAGCTCGTAAGACTACGCTGAGGGGAGAATGTTACGGACGGCCGTGCGCGCCTGGCCGGTCAGAGCTGAAGTTCAGACGAGAATGATTAATTCAAGAGCTCTGATTGGCCGAGCGGCGTAGCGACCCATTGATAGGACCGGCACGATGTGGGAGACATCGTGCCGGTATAAATATAAGCTAGTTTTAGTTTGTACGCATTCACTTTTTTATATTCGCTCATGAAAGCACTTGTTACAATTTCTTGTTTCGTAAGTCAGATTGACATTTTTGTTTTATATGAATATACAGTCCATTTTAAATCAAGGAGTTTTTTATTATCGAAGGAGAATAAAGCAGGAGTTCAGTTTTGCGGGCTGAATTCACCACAATTTGGTCCAATCGAGCCGGATTGATCAGCGAAGAAGCATCATAGATTGGTTTCCTTCAAACAAGTCTGAACAAGTCGAAACAAGTCTGAACAAGTCGAAACAAGTCTGATCCTGTTCAAGATCGAAGTGAACACGAAGACTGAAGAGTGAAGATCATCGTGCGCCGTAGTGGGTACGAACGACCCCCACACGGCGCTGAAGAAAACGAAGA